TCTTCTTCTTCTTCTTCTTCTTCTTCTTCTTCTTCTTCTTCTTCTTCCTCCTCCTCCTCCTCCTCCTCTTCCTCCTCCTCTTCTCTTCTGCATCAATATCTTATTGATTTATCTAGATATCAATTATTTCTCTATTCATCTCTCTCTCTCTCTCTCTCTCTCCATCTATCATCCAATATTTTAAATCTCTTCCTCCTCCTCCTCCTTCATTCTCCTTCTCCCCCCTCTTCCTCCTTCTGCATCAATATCTATCAATTTATCTAGGTATCAATTATTTCTCTATCCATCTTTCTATCTCTCATCTCTATTCATCTATCCAAATTTTAAATCTGTATTTTAAAAAGTGAAGCTGCTGAGATTCCTTTGATTGAAGGGAAATGATGATAAGATGAGTTCCACAAACACGCAAATGAGACTTACCACGGTCTTCTACGGACATCATACAGATCAATCTTGTTCTGGGTTCGACTCTTGTCCACCCAGGGAGAGGCTGAAAGGAGAAACATGACAGAGATAGAATGACAGTGAAGAATTTACATCTTCACTGGATTGATGGATACATAAAAACACCATTAAAAGACCATTTAAAGCAGGGTTTCACAGCCACAGTTCATCTCACCATGGTTTCACTATTGTAAGCATATACAGATTGTCTTCAAGTTACAACAATTCCTTTGAAGTTATGATGACACTGAAAAAAGTGACAGACCATTTTATATGTCTAAATTAAATTTTCTATAGTTTTATGAAGTTGCTATCTTGATTTCTAAAAACTCTAATAACAGAATTCTTCAGATTTCTTGAAGCTCTAATAACAGAAACTTGAGTTAGGGGTTTTAGAAGTCAATGTAGAAGTTGGTTTATGATGAGCTAAACTTTGACTTCATAATATATGGACTATATACCTCATTTCTAATTTTGATAAATATTCTAAACTATAAAATATGAGCCTGTATACAGTAAATATTCAGCCAGTAGATGGCAGTGTTTACAATTTTGGATCTATGACATATAACCCTTTGTTCTAAGTTTCCTGTTTCTTGTTACAGTTAAACAGTTGAGCAGTAAAGCACATGGTGACTGTACTCTTTTTTGCTCTGTGGTGCTATATATAAACAGAATTTTCTAACAGTAAAGATGAAGGGTCATTAAGGCTTGTGCAGTCACTGGAGACAACATTTTACTTCATTTCATACATACAACCATTTTCAGGAAAATGCAATTTGATAGCAGAGTCTTTTTACAGAGAGCATATTACAGGAAATTATCTAATGTCTATCAAATTTCAATAGCAGGAGAGAATATTTGGAGCTCAGGGTTGAACTTTGGGGTCCTTGGTGCTCTCTGAGCTTATTCAACTCAAGAACATTATCAGTGCTAGAAGGGAGTAGTATTTGGTTTCTGTTTCTATGGAATTGCTTGAAACCTGTCAACTTTCTTCAACTTTCCAAACAGTATTTGGTAAATCCAAATACTTTGCTCCTTGAGGTCGAGAATATGAGTAACTGGGATTAAATTTACACTCTGTTATAATTCAAGATAAAACTTCTATAACATGATGTACTGTTGGTATATGACACCAGGGAAATTATCAAAAGTGTATAAAAGTATTTCAAACCAGTGGAGGAAATGTGAAAAGTATGAGGAGATAGTTTATCTGGCATGGTAAAATTGTGAGAAAACTGAAAAATTCTGGGTAGACAGTCATATAATGACACAACATTTTTTAATTATTAATGTTACTAAGAAACCAGAACTCTTTTTATTGGCATTTATAGATAATGAATTGCGGGGGGAGGGAAATCGTGTTAAATTGACACCGTGCACGATCGCAATTTGCAAGATGTTTTTATGCACAAGGATGGAAATAGAGAAATTCCTAAAATAGAGGAATGGATTATGAAATGATAGAAATGGAAAAATTGATCTGTTTGGTCAGAGAGAACAAAAACCACATTTTTTAAAAAAAGTCTGGAAATCTTAGATGGACTTATTGCTGAAAGAAGAAGAAAAAAATGAACCAATTATTTATGGATGTGAAGACTCAGAAAGATGAGGTGGGGGTGAAGGAAGCCTATAAATTATTTAAGATGGAAGAAGACAATAAAATTGTAATTATCTATTGAGAGGAAGGTCAAAAGCCATTTATAAGCTTCTTTTCTTTTGATTTTATGACTCCCCCTTGCTTTGGTTTGTTACTATTATATGAAAAAGTTCAGTAAATATAAATTAAGAGAGAGGGGGGAGAGGGAGAAAGAGACAGAGAGTCAGAGAGATACACAGAGAGAGACAGAGACAGAGAGACAGAGAAAGACAGAGAAAAAGACACACACAGAGAGAGAGAGAGAGACAGAGAGCCAGAGCCAGAGAGACACAGAGAGAAAGACAGAGAGAAACAGAGAGAGACAGAGACA